AGTTGCTGTATGTGGGATGCGGCCTCAGCATGGCCGGAGAAGCGGTGCGTCGGTGCGCGCCCGGGATCCGAACCCGGGCCGCCAGTAGCGGAGAGCACGCACTTAACTGCTAAGCCACGGGGCTGGCCCTTCTCACTTAACTCTTAAGACAACTCTGAGAGGAAGTTATTTTTATTTCTGTTTTGCAGATAAGGAAACTAAAGCTCTAAGACATTAAGTAACTTGTCAAAAATCACAGTGTACACATGTCAGAGTCAGAACGAAACCTAGACTTGTCTGGCTCCAGGGCAGCACCCCTCTACTTACTGTCTGGCCTATGTGATTACTGTCATCCAAAAAGTCCATCTTAGAAAAGGTGTCGTGACCCACATTTGCTCTCCTCAGTCTAGCAAACTTCCAAGGTTTTATTGGATAGGAGCCATTTGGCTGGGGGAAGTCCCTTTCAAAAGAAAAGAGATGGAATTTCTAAAGTGCAATTTGTTTTCACATAAAAGATGTGATATGAATAATAGATAATTACTGAGATCTCCTCATGTGCTAGGCACTGTTTTAAGCATCCTTGAATGAATTAATCTTCCCAATAACCCTATGAGGAAGATGATATTATTTATTTTTCCCCATTATACAGCTAGAGGCTGAGGCACAGAGTGTAAGCAGTTGACCAAGATCACAGACTAGAAAGTGAAATAATTCCAAACATTTTCTATCCCCATGAATATCTCCAGAATAATAATGATGAGAGGCTGTATATTTATTTCAATGACCTGCCATTGCACTGATCTTGTTTAGAACTTTGCTTTTGGAAAGTTCTTAACTTTTTTGTGTCATGGTACCCTTTGGCAGCCTGGTGGAGCTTATGGACTCTTTCAAAATAGTTTTTAAAATTTATAAATTAAGGTCCTTGGATTATAAAGGAAACTGATTAAATTGAAATAGTTACCAAAATGTTAAAAAAAAATTGTGATACAGTAATATGTGCTTCTCTATTAAGTATTAAATAAGATCTGGCAGGGAGTCTAATTACAGTAATTTCAAAGTAGTGATGAATAAAAACTGTATTTTGAGATGCCTGCAGCAACTGGAATGTGAGATGAAAATACCTGTGCTATTTCCAGAGTCACAGGGAGTGCTGACAGGACTGGAGCATCATCTTCATGCATAATGAAATGTTCTTTTCAGTATGAGGTAGTAAAATAAGATGTGACTTGTTTCTAGTCCAAGTTCATGGACTCCCCTCCCTGATACTATAACATTTACCTCCAAAATTAAGAACTCCTTCTTTAGAGACATTATATTAACACCTCATTTCCAACCCAAAATATATGTTCTAATCTTATTTAGGTTGTTTCAGAAATTAAATTTACCCTTGTGCTTATTCGACACCATGGAAGATAGTCAAAGGAAGATAGTTGAGATTCTGACAACAATTATAAAAGATGTCCAAAATGGACATTAATCATTGGAATATCTTTCATTGTTAAAAAGCACAATACTCATTGAATGGTTAAGTTCTAGAATTTTTTTTTTTTAAAAGAACAGACTTTTTTTTTTTTTTGAGGAAGATTGGCCCTGAGCTAACATCTGTTGCCAATCTTCCTCTTTTTCTTTTTCTCCCCAAAGCCCAGTACACAGTTGTATATCCGAGTTGTAGGTCCTTCTAGTTCTTCTATATGGGACGCTGCCTCAGCATGGCTTGATGAGTGGTGAGTAGGTCCACACTCGGGATCCAAACCAGCTAACTCCAGGCCACCGAAGCCAAGGGCATGAACTTAACCACTACGCCACTGGGCCGGCCCCTAGAATATTTTTAATAAGATCATTTATGCTACTTCATTCTTTGTTTAATTGTGCATTCCAAACTATAAAGAAGAGGGGAAAACTGCTACTTAAAAAACAAGCTAAAACAAAGCAGTTATGAATTTAGGGAAATGGCAGAATTCATCTTGGGAGGAACATGTTTACTGTAAAGGCCTGGGTTTGTCTGCATGGGAGTGATCAAGACAAAGGGGCCTGAAGTGTTCGGCCCCATAAAACAGCAGGAAGTTTTAGTGTCTCCCCTCCTAGCCTGGGAGATAAAGGGCTGGGGCCCTGGGACCACGGGGAAGAGAAAAGACAGATCTTTAAAGAAAAAGATAGATATGAGTAAGGGTCCCCAAGGCCATGGCTGCCAAAGTACACTGGGTCCTGTCCTATCTGCTTGTCAAGCTTGTTATCTCCTCTTCTGTGCTGTAGTCCTCTCCCACTAACCCCCTCTGGTGAAGGTCCGCTACACACCGTAGCCTTGCTCACGGGGCACAGGGGAATGAAGAAGGGAGACTGTCTGTGCTTCGGATAATGCAGATCAGACAGCCCTGAAGCAGCTGGCAGGAGAGGGCTCAAAACTGTCCTGGGCAGGGGCCGGCCCAGTGGCACAAGCAGTTAAGTGCTCGCGCTCTGCTGCGGCGGCCCGGTGTTCACCGGCTTGGATCCCGGGCGCGCACCGACGCACCGCTTGTCAGGCCATGCTGTGGCGGCGTCCCATATAAAGTGGAGGAAGATGGGCACAGATGTTAGCCCAGGGCCAGTCTTCCTCAGCAAAAAGGAGGAGGATTGGCAGATGTTAGCACAGGGCTGATCTCACAAAAAAAAAAAAAAAAACTGTCCTGAGCAGTGAAAACGAGTTGAGTGCATGACTGCAGAGTTTGAGTGACCGGTGGCTGGAGAATTAAGCACCCCCAGACCCCATTCTGAGGAAATCTCGGAAATTTGGGGGAGGATACCAGACTTCTTGGAATTACATGGAAGGGGGGCCTATGATTTTTTGTACAGAGAAGAAAAAACAAGCTCAGAAGGCAGAAGGCGGGGAGGACATTCCTAACTGGCCTCTGCCTCCCCTTCACGCCTGCAGTCCACTCGGCACACTTGATGCAGAATGACCTCCAGGTTTACAGCAGGTCGTGTCACTCCCTTGCTTGCAGTACGTGGATGGCTTCCTCATGTGATGTGATAGTTCAGTTAGCCACGGCCCACAAGGCCCTGCCAGATCCTTCCCCCCAATTTCATCCGTTCAGTGGTCCGAACACCTGGTCTTCTGTCCGTTCTTGAATCCTCTCCACAGCTTTGCCGCTATTTTCCCCACCACATCTGTTCCCAAAGGTCCTCCCTCACGTGTCTGCCTCCTTCTCACTCTTCATGCCTAGGCCTAAATACATCACAGAAAGCCCCTCCCTGATCATTTCCTCTCAGATAAGGGAGGGCCCTGCCTATCGATGGTGTCCGTTACAGTATATTTATATTTCCTTCATCACGCCTATCATAATGCAGTTATTATATTTGTATTTTTATTGTCTGTCTGCTCCATAAATATAAGTTCCATAAGGGCAGGACCTGTGTCTGGCTTGTTCCCCTTTGAAGTTCAGTAAACAAATATTTGTTAAATAATTGTATGATTGCATTTATTTGTATGAATAAGTGAATGTTAATATAGAAGCATTATAACTGGTTATACAGTTTTACAACTTAATATTGTTTATAACTCTGGAGGCAAGTAAAGTGTGTCTAAACCAGGAGAATTCACATTTGCACCTCATTATTACAACAATAATAATTATGAATACCTCTCAAATAATCACCATTGCCAGGCATTGAATATACTTCATGTTTTACATACCTTTCTCCTGTAATATTCATAGCTACTCCATAAGTAGTAGGTGCTATTATTATCCTCATCTTTTAGAGAGGAAACTGAGATTCAGAGAGGTTAAGTAACTTGCCCAAGGTCACACAGTAAGTGAACTAAGGTAGTAGGTCTCAAGAGCCTGTATCTTAATCATTAAGCTATATAAATATCATGAAAAGTTCCCACTGCTTGACTTATGGCTTTGGCTAGTGTTTCCTGGGTTTCCCTTATTTTCTGACTCTGGGATTTTAAGTCAAAGCTGTTATCTTCTGAATGACACCTGATTTTAGTCCCCTCACTCCTGCCCACACTCAAGACTAGCAGACGTCTCTTTCTGAGCGCTGCTTCGGGGAAAGAGAGACAGGTTTCTTCTAACAAGTCTCCAGGAATTCTGAAGACTGGTAAACGCAAACGAAATTCAAGGGCAACAAGTTAAAGGAAAAATTGTTACATAGGTAACAACAGGTTAAATTATAAACAACTACCACAAACCAATAAGAAAATCACTCTAGTAGAAAAATGAGTAGACCAAATGATTCACAAAAGGTGGAATGTAAACAGGCCATCAGGTGAAAAAATGTGTCATCAGTAGTAATCAGAGATGCAAAAGAAAACGTGGAATGCCATCTTCCATCAAGTTAGAAAATACTGAAAAATTATAATATTCAGTACAGTACTGATGAAGTATAAAGTGATACGGTGGAGGATAATTGGGCAATATGTATTTTAAAAAACTTAAAAATGATCACACCCTTACTTAGTAGACCATTTCTAGGAATGGTAGGGAAATAGATGTGACCAAAGACTTAAATACAGGGCTGTTCATCATATGCTCAGGAACCACCTCACTTCTTCAACAGGACGTGCAGGTGTGTGGGCCTCAGGCACAGACTCAGGGGCAGACAGCGGGTCGCCGCCCAGCCGATGGTCACCGGCGCGGCCCGTCGGGGCCTCAGTTTTCTTATCTGCAGAATGGGCAGTAACAGGACCTGTCTCCCAGACTTTCTGTGAAGGCCGGACAAGCCAGCGCACATGAAGCTCTCAGAACGCGCTGCACCCGGTAAGCATCACACAAGCACGCTTTCTCCTTGTTTTTGTAATTATTGAAATCATGTCTAAAACTGTAATGACATGTAAAATGTTCTGGGGTAATTTTAGGTAAAAAATAGAAACGTGTATTTCAGGATGACCTCGGTTTGCTGAACTTGCGTAGACGTATAAGCATACGTGTCTAAGTTTAGGGGAGTCGAGGACCACACGTGTCTTCCCTCTTTTCCAAAGGGAGACAAACTGTATCCGTTTCAAAAATGAAACTGTCAAAAGTAAATGAAATAAGTTATATAAATTGAGGAATTCAATTCAGAGTTATTTCTGTTTTGAAAATTATGTAAAAATTGCCCAGTTTTTAATAAATCAATAAATATAAAGTAAAATCAATCCTCCCATTTTGTGAAGTCATTACCATATCCAATTAATCTCTGTCCCTGAAAACATTTTAGTCTTGCTGCTCTTAAAAATGTGTGTGGGGCCAGCCCGTGGCTTAGTGGTTAAGTGCTCGTGCTCCGCTGCTGGAGGCCCGGGTTCGGATCCCAGGCGCGCACCGATGCACCGCCTCTCCGGCCATGCTGAGGCTGCGTCCCACATACAGCAACTAGAAGGATGTGCTATGACATACAACTATCTACTGGGGCTTTGGGGGGAAAAAAAATAAAATCTTTAAAAAAAAAATGTGTGTGTATTCATGTAGTGTTTATAAAGGGTGCACACACACACACCCACACACACACATACCAAGAAAAACGTACCAGAATGTTAATGGAGTACATCTCTGGGCAGAGGAATTAGGGTAATATTAATTTTCTTTTTTCCACTTTCCTTATTATCCAGATTTTCTATAAGGAAGGTAAATACTTATAAAATAGATTTTAAAAAAATTTTCAGAAAGTTGATTTGGGCACTTACGCTGGTCCGTAGTTGCATATAAAATGTGCTCCGTTGGAAAGGGTTTCAAAGCCAGAAACTTTAGGACAAGATTGTACTGCACAGCCAACTTTGTAGCTATCTGCCCAAACAACCTAAAAAAAAATAAAGATTTTTAATGAGAGAGACAATAGAATGAGCAGCTGAATACAACCCGGCCCTCCGGCACAGGGTGCTGTCCGCCCCGGTTCAGGGGGCACCTCCCGCCGGGCAAGGTCCAGGTGCTCAGAGCTCCGGTGAAAACAAGCCCTGGAATCACTATTGTTGATGTGTGTGTGAGAGAAATATATCAACACTAGCTAAGGTAAGTGTTGACAGTGCCACGAAGCAATGAAACAGAGTGGCTGCCGGCGGGGAGGGGCTGCTTTAACCTGCGGGTCGGGAGGACGTGTCTGGAGCGGGCAGCTCTCAGCTGCGCGGGAGGCCTAAATGATGGAGGACCAGGGCACGCGAGGCGCAAGGGCCCTGGCCGGCGTCTGCTTGCGTGTTGGAGGGGCAGGGAGAAGGCGAGCGGAGCTGGGCTCTGACAGTGAGGGAGGGGCGGAGGCGACGGCGTCCGAGGCGCAGGAGCAGGTCGTGGGGGATCTTGTGATGAGGAGCTGGAAGGGTCACGTTGGTTGTGATGCAGTAAAGGGGCTGAGGAGAGCGAGGCCGGAAAGAGGGAGGGCGCGTGGGAGGCCGTCTCAGCGCACCAGCGAGAGAGGACGGCGACTTACGGGGCCGCGGGAGCAGAGCTGAGGACTGCTCAGGCTCGCGGCCCGGCTCAGAGCCACAGCCGAAAGGGGCGCCTTCGCTGTGAGTGCGGAGTAAGAGGGAAAGAGAACATGCAAGTTCCCGTTTGGGGCCTGAGCAAGACTGCCCGCGGTGAGGAAACCAGGGCAGGAGGCGGCGGCTGGGCACGGCCGAGGGGCTCCGCCCGGGCCGCCGCGCCTCTAAGACGCCCGTGGCCGCGCAAGCGCAGACGTCCGGCTGCCGGCCAGGACCGCCTGCGGCCGCAGCTCGGAGAACAGGCCCAGGCTACAGACGCGGATCTGCGAGACTCGCGGCTGCAGCAGGCCAGCGGGCAAAGAGAACAGAAAAAGAAAGTGAACGAGAGCATGGGCTACAGAAAAAAGAAAAACAGCAAAGCAGATTGAAAAGGAGTGGGCAGGGACATGGGAGAGCAACCAAGGACAGAGCCAGCTTCAGGCAGAGGGCCCCGTGACCAGAAGGGCTCCGTGCTTGGTTTAATGCAGTGCTGTCACACAGTTTAGCACGCTTAGTGGCACTTTCCCCCCGATTCTTGAACAAGGGACTCCATGTTTTCATTTTGCACTGGACTCCACAGACCATATAGCTTGTCTTAACCGAGAGTACTTGGTGTCATAGAAGCCTCAAGAAAAAAGTAAGGAGCTAGTATCTGGAGACGCCAGCAATTAAATGCACTCCTTTTTACAGTGATACCAAATTGCATTGTAAATTATTTTTATTCATAAACTTTTTTTAGCAATTTTGTGACAGGAATTGTGCCCAGTATGGGGGATGCGCAGGTGAATGAGCTGCAGCCAGTGGGCGCCTGCACAAAATGTAGAGAAAGCAGTCGTGAAACCCTTACGGGGGTCTGACCACTGTGAAGAGGAAGTAGAGGGTGCTAAGGGGGTATCCCACACACGTGGGACCCTGCTCTGAGTGAGTGAGGCGAGCTGAAGGGGGGGGGCGGTCTGAGCGCCAGGAGAAGTCTCCAGCAGAGGGCAACACCTGTGTGAGACTCACTCAGATCTAAGAAGGCCAGGATCGCTGCAGAAGAAGATCCAGTTTACTGTAAAATTCAGTAAAAGTTGCTCCCTGGGGAGAGAGCACAGGGCGAGAGAAGGGAGGAGCTGAGGATGGCACGTGAGCTGCTCCACGGCTTGAAGCTGGGGTAGGAGGTGGGGCGTGGCTAGCTGCGGGAGGCCAAGTGTCGGGGAGGCTGCTGGTCTTTGCATTCTGCCCTCCTTGGTTTGGCAACTAGGGAGGATCTGGGAAGGCAGCTACTGGTCCCCCCAGAGGAGGAGCAATGCTCTGCTTTGGCAAGGGACCCCTCGCTGCTCCCTGAGGGAAGTGGGGTGCTTCCCTTCACCTCCCACACCCAGGAATCCTGTGCGGGAACTCGAGATAACCAAGTGGCTTGGGCCTCTCGCTCACAGAGAGAGCCTAGCTTTATGGCCATTAATCCTCAGGTTTGATCCCTGTACTTTAACTTTCCAATCATTTTTGTATTTATTTTAAAAATTTCTTAATTTCTATTCACTGCATCTCAAAGTGATTTCACCTTGGGTGCTTGGTTTAAAATGCAGATTTCTGGGCCCATCTCAGTCCTACTGAATGAGAGTTACTGGAATTGTCCTTGAAAGCTGTATTTTTTTATTGAGATATAATTGACATATAACATTATATTAGTTTCAGAGGTAAAACATAATTTGATATACATATACATTGCAAAATGATCACCACAATAAGTCTAGCTAACATCTGTCACCACACATAGTCACAAATTTTTTTTCTCGTGATGAGAAAAGACTTTTAAGATCTACTCTCAGCAATTTTCAAATATACAATACAGTCTTAACTATAGTCGCCATGCTGTACATTACATCCCCAGGACTTATCGATTTTATAACTGGAATTTTGTAGCTTTTGACTCCTTGACCTATTTTGCCCACCCTCCACCCCCCACCTCTGACAGGCACCAATCTATTCTATGAGTTTGGTTTTTGTCTTTTTTTATTCCACATAGAAGTGAGATTATACAGTATTTGTCTTTCTCTGTCTGACTTATTTCACTTGGCATAATGCCCTCAAGGTCCATCTATGTTGTTGAAAAAGGTAGGATTTTTTTCTTAAAGGAAATGTGGTATGTGTATACAATGGAATGTTATTCAGCCATAACGAAAATGAAATCTGTATTTTAACAAGTTCCTCAGGTGATTCTTATGTGTGCTAACTGGGTACAACGGTGTCTGTCTTCCTTTTACCATCACCTTTGTACAGTCACGCGCTGCATAACGATGTTTTGGTCAATGATGGACCGCATATGGGATGGTGGTCCCATAAGATTAGTACCGTGTAGCCTAGGTGTGGAGTGGGCTGTATGTGAGGTTTATGTGAGCACACTCCATGATGTTCACACAATGACGAAGTCACCTAACGAAGCATTTCTCAGAATGTGTCCCTGTCGTTAAGTGAAGCATGACTCTAAATCACTGTATATTTTTATCCTTTTGTCTGTGAGCACTTTCTTCTGGTGTTGTTGTATCTCAAGTATTCTTAATCTTTGGGTTCTCCCACCTTTATGTTTTATGCTATATCTTTTATTGTACTTTCTTTTATATTTCTGGTCATTTTTCCAAGTGCGAAAATGTTAGTTACTACATATTTTGTGTTTTAATTAGTCTTTCTTTTTTTTTTTTTGGTGTGTGAGGAAGATCAGCCCTGAGCTAACATCCGTGCTAATCCTCCTCTTTTTGCTGAGGAAGACCGGCTCTGAGCTAACATCTATTGCCAATCTTCCTCCCTTTTTCCCCACCCAAAGCCCCAGTAGATAGTTGTATGTCATAGCTGCGCATCCTTCTAGTTGCTGTATGTGGGACGCGGCCTCAGCATGGCCGGACAAGCGGTGCGTCGGTGCGCACCCGGGATCCAAACCCGGGCCGCCAGCGCGGAGCCGGGCGCCAGTAGCAGAGCTCAAGTACTTAACCACTGAGCCACGGGCCGGCCCTAATTAGTCTCTTTTTTAAAATCAGGTTGTAATTAACACAGTAAAATCCATCCTTTTTAGGTATACAGTTCTATGAATTTTGACAAAAGCATATAGGTGTGCAGTCATCACCATATTTAAGATCTACACATCACCCCACAGAGTCCCCTTGCGCACTTTGTGGTCAGCTCCTACCCTACCTCCAGCCCCTGGCAACCTCTAATCTTATTTTCTGTCCCTGTAGTTTTGCTTTTCCCAGAATGTTGTACAAATGGAATCACTTTAAATGTAGCTTTTTCAATCTGGCTCTTTCACTTAACATAAGCATTTGCGATCCATTCATGTGCAGAATTCATTAGTAGCCACTTCTTTTTATTGCTGAGTAATATTTATTGCATGGGTGTACCACAGTTGACTTATCCATCCAAGCCGGTCTCTTTTTAAAAGCTTCCTGGGCATTTGGGTTCTGGGTTAAACTCGTGGGCTCTGGAGCTGTGAAGACCGAGTCCATGTTTCAGCTCGGCCACTCGCTCTGTGACCTTGGCCTCGGCTTTCTCGTCTGTTCAGTGATAACAGTACCAAGTCCACAGGCTCATTCTGACATTTTAAAGGGGCTAATAAGAAAGTGCTTAGAACCTAGCAAGCACTTGGCAAATGTTCATGTGTTTTTTCCTCTTACAACTAATTTTATTCTCCTTTAAAATGTTTGAAACACTATTTTTTCATTAGGCAGATTTCTGTTGTATGTTTTCTTTTCATTTCTTTTATTATGGTAAACAAAAAACATAATTTTTAAAAGAAGAGAGCCTCTCATTATTGAGAATGTAGTTGGCCCCAGGGTAGTGGTAAGCACTTTACATGCAGCATCACGTTTAACCTCACAGCACGTCAACACATAGGTATTGACCCGTTTTTATACATGAGAGTGGGAAGCTAATTCTACTTGACCACGAAGTCCTGTGAGGGCACTCCACGCCCTCAGCAAGATGCTTTCGGAGCGCTTTCCCTTCTAGCAGAACCAGGAGTGACGCTACACCTTTCTAACAAACACCCCGCGTCTGGGGACCCAGTGCGGCAGGCATGGCTCTCCCTTCCAGCTAACAAGCCCTTCCCACCATCTTCTCCTACCAAGTCTCAGCATGAGTCCACCTGGCTCATTAAAAGGAGAATGGTAGGTAACACCGCAACACATATAACACCAGGTGGAGAAACTGTGAAACACGTCACACTTCCATTGGTTCGTGAGAGCGTAAAAATAACAAATAGATCAATACTACCATCTAGTGGGCATTTCCAGCACTACCAAACCTAAACTGCTGCCCCACCCGGATACGTGTCTAAAACTATTCTCAAACTTTACAGAGCTGAACTGTTGGCAACAAAATATCGAATTTGAATAATATTTCATATTAACATACCAAAATTCTTCCATAATGCAGATCTAACCTCTAGTGAAGACAGAGCTAAAGTGTCTCATTAACAAGTCAAGAAATATCACACCTGTATGAGGTAATAATGGATCTGAATCTACTGTCTTTGCTCTGTACAACCACCCTTCACCGGCCAAAACCTGATAATAGCTTGCTTTTTATTATAGAAGATGAAGATAAGTGGGAGGTTATAATGCCTACTTGAGGTTATTTCCTGCATGAATTTATAACAGAACTGAGTAGTCTTGAATCTCCCAGCAAGATTTCTTGCAAGGATGAAAACAGGAAGTCTTGAACCGAGCTATCGGAGTCTTCTTCCAATATAACTGGTGGAAAACCAGCTCCTGGAAGAGACCCAGCCTTTGCTCAAAGCCTACTAAGTACTAGTACTTTACTAGATAATTTATACACATTATATTATTTAATCCTCACAACATACCTGATAGCCGGATCCCGACTCTCCCTCTTACTAGCTAAATTACACCGGGAAAACAACCTCTCTGAGCCTGTTTATTCCTCTATGGGTAATAGCATCTTTCTTACAGGTTTGTGGTGCGAACTGAATGAGATGTTAAATGTAGAGAGCTAAACACCACACTCACTTAAAAAGTGGTTGCTGCTGCTGCCTCCTCCCAGAGCTGGGGGTCCCTGGGCATGCTCCCCATGAGGAGGGTCCCCCTTCTGAAGTGGGAGTGGGAGGTAAAGAGAACAGGTTAAGATCACTCAGCTTGGGCTCTGACACCTGTATGCAAGGAACTGGATTTTAGGAAATGAGTTTTCTCATGTCCAAAACATTAGCCCTCCCTTTTCCCCCTGGATGTAAGGGGGAAAGTTACAAGTAGGCTCAGTTAATTTTGGGAGGGCCATCTCTGAAATCTCAGGCCCATGTGACATTAACTCGAGTTTCCTCCGCTTGTTTTGGCTCCCTGGTCTGATGGAGATGCAGTGTCTTGCGTAGTTAAGGAGTCTGTTGTCAGCTTGATGTCTTCTGATCTCTGTGTATTTGCGTGCTGAGCTACCTGCCTTCCGAAGTACAGGCTCGTTGGTACACGCCGTGCACCTTCTACACCTTGTCCATTTTGCCTGGAGTTCTTGCCCCTTTCCTTTTCACTTGACAAACTCGCACTTAGTTTTCAAGAACCAACTCATATGTCTCCTGCTGTGTGAACACCCCCTGTCTCCATACCTCCCTTTGGCCAGATGAGTTGCTCTGTCCTCTGTGCTCACATGGCACTTACTTTCTCCGAACTGCACTAGCCATGCACTCTGATACATCCCCTTACACATATGTCTCCCCAAGAGAAGGTCAACTCTAAGGGTCAGGGGCCATTCCCAGCTGTGTCCCTCATTCCCTGCCCTACTCCCCACTTCTCCTCACTTCCGCTTCTCTTCAACTGTACTCCCAATAAAGCGTTAGCACGTGGGCTATTGTCTCAGGCTCTATTTTTAAGGAATCTGGACTAAGACACATGACCAGTACCTTACAAAGTGCCTGGTGTAGGATAGAGCTTAAATCTGACTGAATGCAAGTCAGCACCCTCAAACTGACAATTATTTCTAGAGATTTAAACACCACAATGCATAATGGTACCAGGTCGGCATTCTGGGTTTAGCTTTCCTGCCCTCTAGGACTTGTAGGAATCCGACGGACTTTACTTTCTAGTTAACCTTATTTGTAAACATAAACCAAAATTGATGGCTTATGGGATAAGTCTAGGGGAAACCTTATTTATATTTCCAAGAAAGGGGCCAATGCTACTGCTGATTTGATAGCCATTCCTTGCTTATGATACTCCTGAGATGGAAATGTCACTGAAATCAGTCCTTTCCCTCTCATCATCATAATCTCCTACAACTGTGCCAAACTTGTTTGCCTGTAACACCACCAGTGAGAGCAGAGGCTTCATAAGACTGAACTCGGTTGAGAGTTTTTCCAACATTTTTCTCTTTAAAACCATCTAATATTCCAAGTTTACTGCCTTGTTAGAAATGTTTTTGCCCTCATACCTCATTTCACCAAATTTTTGTACATTAAAAGCAGTCAAACATAGGTTCAGTATCTTTCGTTATTGGTTTGACAAGGACTGCCAGGAAATAAAAATAAGTAAACAAAATGTGGCCGGGATAGGGAGGCAGCATATCAAGAAGACTATAGAAGATGCTACTTAGGGACTTGTTTCTATCATGCTGCAAACGTGAGTTAGAGTTAGGAAGCCAAAACCAGCTTGAGTAAAAAAAAAAAAAAAATCTCAATGGGAGGCTCCCAACATTGCTATTGGGACTAATACTGTAGATTTTGGGGGCAGAATACCCACAGGATGGTTTATACAAGTTTACGTGTCGGCCTTTCCATTGGGGCTGAGACTTGTTTTGTTTGTTTTTCCTCCTCGGGTGGCACATTGTAGGTTCTCAGTCCATGTTTGAAAGAATAAGAGGATATGGAAGCGTCAATAAGAATGAGAGGCTTATTTCTCCCAGTTTTATAGTCCCTAAACAACTGCCTCAAATTTCATAGAGGACTCATACCTGAAAATCCATTCACTCGTAAGGTCCTTTGATTGCTCACAGATGGAATAAAGCCCCATGGGAAGACAGCTGTTGTCAAAATTGTTCAAGGCCTGTCCAAATTGGTGGGCCTCACATTTTTCCTTTGTCTGCATAACTAAACTCTTCAAGTGCTATCTCCTCTGGTATTGGAGTCTGTTCCACATACTTATTTTTTAAAGTAAGCCTGTAGCCCCTACTCGCTCATATTTACAGGTGCACTAGCTTACTATATATTTTCTTCACACCAGATTCCAGTTTTCTCCTCACCCTTGAAAGATGGTTTCAAGAGAATATAGGGAAGATACTTACCTGAGTGTAATGGCCACAGACCTTGCTGCATTTCCGGGTCTTGAAGTCATAGTATTCCATTTCATTGTACCAGGCCGTGATGGCTGAAGACACAGAAAACAAGGATCGAGACCCAGTCCAGATGTTTTCTCCCAGGGAAGTGAAATTTGGGTGCAGCTTGTAGGGTGGCTTCAGCTGTGAATTATGTGCAAACTGACAGTGTCTTGCCCACGCTTTTGCAATTTGGGCTAGTACTGGGTCCCAAGTCTGCAAAAACAAATATGCAACAACAGCAGGGTCAAGAACAGAACCTGTTACCCAACAATGTGACTGGAGTGAGCGAGGTGGGAACTGGAATGGGATGAGGTGTGATGACCAAGATAGAGAAGGAACCGCTGCACACAAGTCCTCCACAGAAGTATGGTCTTCAGGTATGAACTCACGCTAGCAGAAACATGATAATCTAGTTTTGTGGAACTCAGAATCTAAGTTAGGGACACAGACCAACATTTCACTGAAGGCCTATTATGTGCAAACTACTGTATGCTGTGTTTCATATATATATATTTTTTTCTCTTTTTTTGCAGGGAAAAGTTTGCCCTGAGCTAACATCTGTTGCCAATCTTCCTTTTTTTTTTTTTCCCTCCTCAAAACCCCAGTACGTAGTTGTATATTCCAGTTCTAAGTTGTTCTAGTTCTTCTATGTGAGCCGCCACCACAGCATGGCCACTGACAGACAGGGGGCGTGGTTCCATGCCCGGGGAGCGAACCTGGGCTGCCGAAGCGGTGACCCCCAAACTTGAACCACTAGGCCATCAGGGCTGGCTCTCACATATTTTATATAATGTAATAACCAATAGCCCCATCCTAAGAAGCTCAGAAAGGTTAAACCAGCTCAAAGCCACAGAGCTGAGATTCAGCCCAAGACTGACTGAATCAAAATCCCGATATACAGATGGCCAATAGGCACATGAAAAGATGTTCAACATCGATAATCATTGGGGAAATGCAAATCAAAACAACACTAAGATATCACCTCACACCTGTTAGAATGGCTATAATCACCAAGACGAAAAACAACAAATGTTGGAGAGGTTGTGGAGAAACAGGAACCCTCATACACAGCTGGTGGGAATGCAAACTGGTGCAGCCTCTATGGAAAACGGTATGGAGATTCCTCAAAGAATTAAAAATAGAAATACCCTATGATCCAGCTATCCCACTACTGGGAATCTATCCAATGAACCTGAAATCAACAATCCAAAGAGGCTTATGCACACCTATGTTCACTGCAGCATTATTCACTATAGCCAAGAAGTGGAAGCAACCCAAGTGTCCCTCAACTGATGATTGGATCAAGAAGATGTGGTATATATATACAATGGAATACTACTCAGCCATAAAAAACGACAAAATTGTCCCATTTGCAACAACATGGATGGACCTGGAGGGTATTATGTTAAGTGAAATAAGCCAGAAAGAGAAAGACAAACACTGTATGATCTCACTCATATGTGCAATATAAACCAACACATGGACAGAGAAAACTGTATTGTGGTTACCAGGGGCAATGGGGGTAGGGGGTGGGCACAAGGGGTGAAGGGAGACACGTATATGGTGATGGACAAACAAAAATGTACAACCAAAAATTTCACAATGTTATAAACTATTAAAACATCAATTAAAAAAAAAAAAATCCCATCCTTTCCCAGACGCCACGCTGCCTTCCTGAGAAGTCAACACACTGCTGGCAACAAGAAAAGTAACTTAGAGACAAAACAAACAAAAAAAACCCTACAAAAATCAACAGGGGAGAAAAGAGAAGTAAAATCTACCTTTGAGCAGAGGAAAGGAAGTGTTCAACAGAGAACAGGCACTTGTTGGGCTCGCTCTCAACAGGAGTTGAGCAGACAGAACTAGGCTGGCTGTGGTCTGACCGCAGACTGTGAATTTACTGCACACATTAATCACAGTGAAACAATCATTCAGGATCACCGAGGATTTACTTCCAAAACCAGCACACATTAGTTGTTTTTGACTGACTTATGCCACAAAGACTGATCCTTTCCTTACCATGTATAGCATATCACTGGCTGCTGGATTCACCTCTGATCGGAACTTGTTGTGAACTCGAACACAGTCTTTGATGAAATCTTCATTTTCGATATCTGGCAAAGTATTTGCAGGATATGAATAACTGGAGACTAAAGACGCCATCCAGGCCGCCACAGCAAGTGTGACTCGCATGCTCAGTCTGTCTGGCCGGGAGCCCTGGGGGGCTGGAATCTGGAGCCACTGCAGGTCCCGAGAGTGGGTGCGTCTCTCTGTTTTACAACGCACAGCCAACTGCAGCTTTGAGAAAACGGAAAACAGAACATGAGTTCATCCCAAGTTTGAAGAAATGGGTTTCTCCATATATGGTTTGCAGCTCCTTTTGTGCTCTTAACCCTGTCTTTTCAGTGGTTCTCGGTGACACAGCACCTATTACAACATAGATTTTTACAAGGCTGCCTCAGACTTTCTTTTGGGTTGGGGGCTATTTCCAAAGGAAATTCTGGGATCTCCAGAAATAACAACCTCAATTTTTACAGAGGTTCTGGTGGTTAAATAAAAACATATCTCTTACTTCTACAATTGTCTTGCAAAACGCTTTTTAAGAACTTTTTTTTAGAGTCTTATCAGCACACAGTGCTTGGAATATCTGGTTAACATCGGAACTTGACCTAGAATCCATTCACAATGGTGGATGTATGTGTGTGCGTGTGTGTGTATCCATGCAAAAGAGGAGGCAGAGAGAGAGAGAGAACAGTGGAAAGAGCACGGGTATCGATTTCAGATTTTAGTTTGAGTTCTGTTTCTAACTAGTGGTAAGACCTTGGACAAGTTACCAAACTCTCTAATCCTCAGCTGCCTATTTACTGAATGAGGTCTTTTCTACCCCCTTTAATCAGGGGGGGGTTGGGAGATCAAATGAACTAGCTAATATATTAATTCAACACATATTAAATTCCTGCTCTGTGTATTCAGTTTAGTAATAGGAGATAAAAACATAGCACTGCCCTCAAGGAGCTCGCAGTGGTAAGAGCTGTGAGATGGTGACAAAGACAGGGAGAGGTGAACATCTGGATGGAGGAAAGCACAGGGAACTAAGGACCCACTGGAGACAGTGCTTAACCCATTCTGGGAAGGGTAGAGACGGCTTCCTACACAGGGCAGTGAGGTCCTCTTTGAGCTGGAATTGGGTAGGTGTTGATCAGTGGAAAGGGATGCAGAGATGAAGAGAACTGGGGACAGGAGCCGTGCTCTCTAGTTGTGAAGCTGGAAACACGATTTCGTGGCAAGACTAAAGAACCACTGCATGTTGTCTCTCTCTGTGGAGATGGTCTTCAAGAATTGCTTATGGCTAGTAGGAAACACTGTAGGTTCCTGGTTTCACGGAATTTAGAATCCAAATGGTGCTCTCGTGCCAGTCAGGGAGAGAGGTAAGAGTCAGATCAGGGAGGACTTCTGGATTCTGCCACTGATTTGGATTTTATCAGAAAGGTGACAGGAGGGCATTTTAACTGTGGAGTGTGATCTGGTTTTAGAAAACACCAGTGTTTTAGAAAATCAAGAGGTACAGAGAATGGAATGGGGTGAGGGAAATATTTCTAATGGAAACTCTTAAAAAGTAAAGAAGCATTACAGAACCATATGGTGGAATTATTGTTGCCACACACACACAAAATAACATATACTCATATATAATTTCAGATTTTGTCCAGGCTGCTAATTTGTACTAGCATTCCTTTCCATTATGTGGACCTAGGATAAGCATCTCCCTGTCTGGGGCTCAGAGGCAACCTTTTGATCAAGCTAGTGGCAATCAACAGTGAGACCTTCCTCCAACCTGAGGTGGTAACCAGACCTGGGGCCTGTTCCCATTTTCTTCTGGGTCTTTTTGAGCTTGTTTGTCCAGGCTTTGAACACAAGAACAAGAAAAATGAGACCTCGCAAGCAAGGAAATTCAATGACATTTTGTGGTTGCTTGAGCAATCTCCATTGTACACATACAACTCCCAAGAATAAACAATATTCTCTTGGTATTGAAATAAACTAATCAATTTTTTCCTCTAATTTCCTGAAAATAATAAGCCAAAGGGAAAGTCTACCATTACTGAGACCATTTTTACATTATTATGCATAGCAATTTAGCTCCTCAGAGCTACAAGCCTCAAACTTCTTAATTCACACTACATCTCCACAACAAAAGCCCATGGAAGTAGTTTGCTCAGAACAGGAACTTTTACCTGGAAACAAATGCAAGCCTTCATGTCTTTTCAGAAGGCTTGCAACTTGGCTGAGTCTTTCCTCTCCTTATCCTGGGTCTTCACCATGGTCTCCTTCAAAAGTAGGTGTGTTTTCAGTGCTTATCTCTGAATGGTGGCGTTTTAGATTTTTTTTACTTTCTTTTTCATTCTTTTCTGTATTGTTTAAATTTTTTTACAGTGAGCATATACTATCTTTTATAATCAAAAAATAAAGTAAAAATATTTTTATTTTGGCGAACCATAGGATCTTTATAATCATGCACAAATTAACACATATACACAGTTGATAAACCCATGCATAGATAAAAGACTAAAGGGATATTGGTATACCAGTGTTGACGCAAGTACCTAATAATCAATCAATAGATTAAAAATGGGGTGAGTTTATTATATGAGCCAGTTCTGAGGACTATAGCCCAGGAGAGGGACCTCCACCAGGGAAGGAAGCACTCTGGAGAAGTGATGTGAACAGCATGGTTATATACCATTTTGGAACAAGGAACATACATCAAATATGACAGGAATACTTTTTTTCTTTTTACTACAGTCACAAGATGTTTTGCTAGGCACAGCAGGTCAGTGGTCACAAGATGTACACAGCAGATCAATCTGACCCTGATTTCTGGGAAGGAATGCTTATCTTTAAAGAAATGCTCATATGGGAGGGAGGCATTCATCTCTACCTTTAACGGCATCATTCTTTGCTTTGGGATACTGTAAATGTTTAAAGCAGATATACAATGCATGATTGACAGGCCACATCAGACCATTCTGGAAAAACAAGTTCAGGCCAAATCAGTTTTAATCCAAAATGGCTTCCTCATATACCTCAATAAATACTAACTTTTCTTGTTGCTTTTAATTTATCCCATCACCAGTATTAGTTGTGGTTATCATTGAATAATGGGGTATGTCTCTCTATCCCAGCATGTTTTACTAAAGTGCTTTATAAAAAGCAACAGTTTGTGCAGCTGGAGATAATTGTATATATTATATGGCAAAATCTCAGCCTTGCTATACTGTTCTAGACATGTCCTTTAGATACATGATGAGCTTCCTTATTTCTTGGGGAGAAATGATGTAGAATTCCCTATATCCCTATATCTCCCTCTCTGATTAGATTCTGTAAATATTTAGGCTCCAAAAGGCTTTAGTCACCTATTACATTGAGGATGGGGGTGTGCAGGTGGGGATGGACAAAGGTTAGGTGTCCAGAAAGTGAGAAGGATTCTAATAGTTATTAGCCAAACACCGGCACTCTTAAATTGTCTATGTGATAATACTTCTCACAATCGTAATAACTTGGTCTAAGCCAGTTACATGTATGCCAGTTGCACAAGTTAACTCTAATTTATAACCTAGGACCAGTTAGCACTGAAGTACTCTGATAAGGAATCCACACTCCAAGGCGGGTCTCAGCACTTAAGATATGGTTATGGAAACTGACACCAGAGTTTGTTAATTAGACTAGGGATGTTACAGAATACTTTCCACTGATGAAATGAGTGCTGTTCAAGATGAATGGTTTGTAGGAAGATTGAACATGCCCTCCTGCCATTGCGTGAACAAAGTGTAGCGAAGACCTGTCACAGAGGCCCCGGCCCCTGCCCTGACTCGGAGCACAGACCCTGACTTCAGACCCGGCCAGTCCTGACTTCAGAATGTGTTGAGTGAGCCTCTCATACAAGTGTATGGTTGGAGTGTCCAGGGGCAGAGCAGGTCTGTTTTTATAACTGCTTGCTAAGGAATGTTTAGAGTTTTAGCAGAATTTGTCCAAGGCTTGCTGTCACGGTAGCATACCATCAAATATTGAGGTTGTCGGGGAGGGAAAGTAGCCTTTGCCTAACCTAGCTCCAACTGCATGAGGCTACACACATTTAAGGAAAGAACCTGACACTGGAGACCACGTTGGTTTAGGTCAGTTAGCAGCAGTGATGACAAGCACCAGCGAGGCTTTCTCAACTGCATTACCTCACTGCTTTCACAATAACTGTGTGAGAGATGCATTATTACCCCTATCTTACAGGTGACAATATTGAGACAAAGGAAGTTAAATGACTGGACCGAGAGCATGACTAATAAGATCTTAACAAAGGGTCTGTCTGATTGCTAAGCCTGTTTGTAGCCATTAAGAGCACAAGTTCTCTAAACTGTCTGGGTTCAAGTCCGGTCCTATGTACTGGCTGCGGGCCTTTTACTTCTCTGGGCCTTGGCTTCCTTATCTCTAAAACTGGGATAATAATAGTACTTACTTCATTGGACTGATAAGAAATTATTTGTAAAAAAAGCTTAGAAAGCGCCCAACACACAGTAAGTATGATACATATTAACTATTATTATTATTATTACTTCCCTTTTATTATCCTAGGTATGCATATGCATATACCTATGCATATCATAGGTATAATTGAGACTACCTTTAACCTAGAACATTTTCATATTTTATAGCGTTACATTTAGATAAGCTGTTAGAAAAAATTGTATCTTGACAGTATAAATTATTGCTATAGAGTCACAATGGATTTTGATGCAAATTATTCAGACTGGTGTTTGATTTTTTTTTTAATAAATTCTTTATCTTGTGATTGTTCATGCCACTTGCATTTGATAATCATTTGGATAGTCTAAATAAATTATTTATTTTCCTAATTTTAGAAATGGATGGACTGAATTACACATAATGATATTTTATAATTAGTTTTTAAACATGTTATTACTGGGCAACAAGGTATGAGTCTTTTAAAGATTTCAAATATAGAGTGTCCAATAACCGTTTAGAACTTATACTAATTTATACTTCCATCATCATCAGATAGGTGTTGAGACCATATATTATCTCAAACATTGGAACTAAGTGTATATATGTATATGGTTGTGCATATTGTAAGAGAACCAGAGCTTTACTAACTAAAGCAGTAAAAATAGATTTTATTCAGAAACTATTGCACTAGGGCAAAGGAGACCTCAGTGTAGAACTGGGCTCAATTCAGATTATACTAAGACAACTGGGGATTTGTAGCCAAAGAGCAGAGGTGGCATGGGCCGGGTGTTGGTGGACGGAAAATTACTGAGGGCAGGCCAGAGTGATCAGATGTCAAAGGTTGGGGATGAAGAATCTGATTAGATATTGAAAGTGATCAGATGTCAAAGGTGGGAGAGATGCTCTCTAAACTGACTTAGCAGGACTCTTGCTAAAACTGGGCTATGTAGCCCCAGTAAGGATGGGGGGCAAGATTGAGGCCTAGATGAGAACAGGGCTTAGAGATGTCTGACTACAGTTTGGTCAAGGAGAGTGTCTTGTCAATATGCATATTTAATTACTCCCTGTTTTCTCGCCCTTTGCTTGCTAGATTTTAGTTTATCATTTCCAAACTTGAGCTGACCTTGAGGCATAGTTTTTCCAAAGAGGAAGGCACAGTGGAACTTCTAAATTTTGCCTTTGGCTTGTTGTATGATATAACAAGAGAGACAGCACCCAAAGCAACTTTACGAGCACTGGGATAAATTCTGCTCATACTTAAACAGATTAGTCATTTTTAAAAATATGAATTCAAAGATAATGTTAACATGAGAATTGAATAACATACATTTCTAAACTCTTAAACATTGCTACACTTGTCTTTCTATAAATATTTCTAAAAACTTGCTTTAGCATAGATATGTTTCAGCAAAAACTATTTACTGAAAGTTCGTATCTTCTTGTTGTATTTTTTAATTTGATAAGAGTCCAAATATGAGTTAACTGAATTTCAGTGGAATAATCTGCCTGGTGCTCCCTTTTCTGTTTCTCTACTGAGTAATGCTGTTCTGATTTGCATAAGGCAAGAGAGAAGTCCTTACTGTGCACTCCCTCAAGTTCCTCCAGGGCCTCTCTGCTGGGGTGACCTCAGAGAATGATTCATATGCTTCAGCAGTTGTACTATAGCTTCTCAGTGGCCGGGCAAAGGTCTTTGTACAAACTGCAAATTGTCTGCAGGAAAATCAGCTGAGAAAGCTGGTGTGCAGTCGCCATAGCAACAAGCCTTCACCTTCTGCCCGTTAGCTTCTGCCCAAGACAGCGGAAGCCTGACAATTGTATGCTGGACTATTCCACTTACTCAAAGAGGGCAGCTGTCTGCTGCCAGTTCACTCTGGTCCATTCACAAGACAGAGATCCACGACCACCAGCCTTATATTTTTCACGGCATGGTATATCATGGCCTGGCATGTTCTCAGTTAATGTTTAATTCATTATGATCCTGGAAACTATGTATTATATAGCTACATTTTTGGTGAGGAAATTGAGAGTCAGCATTAAGTAATTTGCTCAAGTTCACACAGTTAGTAAATGAAAGGAGTAAATTAAACTCAGCATTATCTCTCACACAATTACTTACATATTAGGTGGGCATTAGAATTTCCACACCATAACAACCCACCAGTGCTTTTAATCAGCTCTCCCTAGTATTTCTAGAATATGGCCAAAGTTTGATAACTGCTATTTTATGCCATGCTGCTTCTCTTTGCCTGGATGACATCTTATCCCTGGCAAAGTGCTTAGGCTGAAGGCCCTCATTCACTCTCATTCACTGTATCTTAGGATGTTGGAACCAAAATTCTCCCAGCTCCCTACTGCTGCTTCCAGACCATTGCTACACAGCTTTTCCTCAGACTGCTTCTTTGAGGTGTACAACATTCATTTACACCAAATTCCACTCTTACCACCATCATTTTCAGGCCTCCCCTACAAGCCCTGAAGACTTGAGCCTTGGTCCCTAGTCTTTGTCTCCATTTGAATTATCTAACACGCTGCCCACAAACTTCTTTGACCAACTCTGCTTCACTGATTTGAACAAATCATTCACTTAGACATATCTGGGCCTTACCAACTAAGTTGCTCTACTTCCAAACTCCACCTGGAATTGCTCTACCTCCAATTCCTACTCTTGGGCCACAATCTTCTTCCTCCCACCTCTCAAGCACTGGCACTGTACTTGCTACTAAATCTGCTCCCATATTCATGGCGATTCACAAGCTTCTCACCTTATTCTCTCAGCCTAGAACCCCCCAATCCAACCTGCTTTTATTTCTTCTCTCTATGTAGCCTAGGCACCAATAATCAAAAATCACAAGCATGTTCACACCAGCATCTTCAATTCTCTCACACTTAGGGTCTTCCTGTGAGCTAGCTCAGCCAGTCTTTCACCAAAGAATGTTTGTTGTTTTAGTTTCTATGAAGTAGAACTATAGAAAATAGAAAAACTATGATAATGGGCACCATCACATTGTTTATTGCTCAGCAACATTTTAAATCAGATCCGCTTTCATTTTGAGCAATGGTTTATCCAAACCTTTTGTAATCCTCAAGCCACCTACCCACTCTGAGATCTGGTCTCCTGTAAGCTTCTCAGCAGGCATCAAATGCCACGTTCTTCTGCAACTCAGTGTTTCTGTTCCTTTTGACCCAAGTGTCATTTTTGCACTTCTTTCTCTGTCAAACTCCTACTCACCCTGTGAAGCCCAACTAAAATGTTATCTTTTCTGTATTGCATTTTCTGACTTCCCTAAGCATCCCCTTTCCTCTGTGCTCCCTTATTTCCTTTACATACATGTCTTCCTTTTCCACTAAACAATGAGGCAGAAGCAGTCTGTCTTCATTATATTACTACCTCCTATAGTCTTTCCCTCTGCCTTAGACCACTCAGGCTGCTAGAACAAAATGTCATAGACTGGGTGGCTTAAACAACAGAGCTCTATTTCTGGCAGTTCTGGAGACTGGGACATCCCACCAGCTAGGTGCCGGCTGATTCGGTCCCTGGTACGGCCCCCTTCCTGGCTTGCTGAGGGCCACTCTCTCGCTCTGTCCTCACATGGTGAAGAGAGAGACAGAGAGGGAGAGAGAGTGTGCTCTGGTCTCTTCTTCTTCTTATAAAGACACTAATCCCATCATGAACTCATCTAAACCTAATTACCTCCCTAAGGCCCTACCTCCTAATACCATCATATTGGGGGTTAGGGCTTCAACACAGCAATTTGGAGAGGACACAAACATTCAGTCAATACACCTTCTAATTCAGAATTCCCACCTCAATCATTTTAAGTAAACAGAAGCCTACTTGGATACTGGACAAGATGTGCTCTAGAGCTGAGGCACTTGCAAGAGCTCAGTCTTTAAATCTGTGCTGTCCAGTGTCATAGCCACTGACCTCATGGGGCTGTAGAGCCCTTAGAATGTGGCTAGTCTAAATCGATGTGTGTTCTAAGTGTAAAATAGACACTAGATTTTAAAGACTTGGTAAGAAACAAAGGATGTAAAATATCTCCTTAATACTTTTAATATTGATTACACATTGAAATGATAATATTTTGCATATGCCGAATTAAATAAGATCTATTATTAAAATTAATTTCACCTGCTTTTTTTTACTTCTTTAACGTAGCTAAATTTTAAGAAAATTTAAAGTAATACATGTGGCTTGCATTACAGATCTATTAGAC